GGTGACGAGGGAAAGGTGGTCATGTGATCCGACGGGTTGTCGAGGATCAGCGAAGGCAGGTCACCTTCATTTAAAGTGGTGGTGGTGATCAGGCTCACTGGCTGATAGGATGGGTGGTGAAGGTGGTGGTGATCACTGAGGGTGACGATCGGTGGAGAGGAAAAAGAAGAGGGTGAAAGTTGCTGACTTCTCGATGGGTAGTTCTGCATGCTTTTTTCCTTTTGTTTTGTTTAAAAGTTCATAAAACCAAACGTTAGAGGGAAAAGTGACCGTCAAAACAGAACAAAAACGCGCAAAAAACTCGATGAACCGAAAACAAAGTTGTAACTGAAAGTAGCGAGCAGAAGTGAGTCGGTTCGATCGTTTTCTCTGGAAACTGGTTAGCTGTTGCTGGTGGTGGAGGACACAAAACTGACTGACTGAGAGCAGGAGAAAGAGAAAGAAACTCAATGGCTGACTGCTCTTCTGGCGGTCATAAAAGAAGCCACCAGTGCCAGCAGCAGTATATGATTAGGCCATATTAATGGAGGCACCGCTGTGTGTACAGACACGGCGACGGCGTTGGACATCATCACATTTGCACGCTGTCATCGTTGCTGGGCAAAAAGTGAGAGAGAGAGAGAGAGAGAAAGAAAAAAAGAGAAGAAAAAGAAGGCAAAACAGAAAGGGCAGAAAAATGAAGGTAGGAGCGATTTGAATGGGGCAGTGCACCTGCTGCACACAAAGTCGCACTTTAGCGTGCACGCAAACACACGACAGCAACGAAAAGTTGATGATGATGAGGATGAAGATGCTCCAGTGAAAAGGCGGTAGTGGTGCTGAACTAATTCTCCCGCATCAACGCGATCGTACACTTGCACTCTTGTACAATTTCAATAAAAACACCAAAACATCCTGTTGAAAAGAAAAAGATGTTTTGGGTTTGGTGTTGTTGTGATGGCTATGAATAGCTGAAATCGATGAGCAAGAGCTAATGAATTGGCATTTTCATTGCCAGTTTCCGTGGTATTCAGTGATTAATACACCACCAGAGCTGAATGATCAGTGGTGGGCACAATGTACGGGTGATGATTGTGACACATATGGCAGTATTGCACACATGTACCACACAAGCACACCTTCGGGCTTATTTCGAAGAAAAGGAGGAAGAATTTATGGGAGCAGTGTTGAGCAATCTATGAATAAAGAAAAGACACTTAATCAATGACGTTTTTGCCGTCAATTGAAGTCGTCCGTCAGTGCAGCAGTCAATTGCAGCCCAATGAAAGCAAATTGGGTTCCAATTTGATGCTGCCGCAGCTGCCGAGGACGACAGTGCACTCCAGTGCCTACAGTGCACACAAGGTTCGGTCTAATATACCTGGTCAGGCGGCTGTGCTTACTGATACCCGGTCACGTTGGCCGGATTTATGGGGGAGGGAGTGTCAGTGAGTATTTATCATCAATAGTAGTAGTAAGAGTAGTGATTGGATTGCACAAACTGAGATGAGATGGATGAGATGAATTGGGCATCTGCACTAATTGGGATTATAGTAGTACTTCTAACTAATAATGGAGTGAGTGAGGCAATTAGGAACGACGGCTCAGCTCAGCATTGTTTTAAAGTTGGGGAGACAAATCGAAAAGAGAAAAAATGCGAGCGATTGGAAAGTGTGTGCTAATCTGCAGTNAAGTGAGTGAGGCAATTAGGAACGACGGCTCAGCTCAGCATTGTTTTAAAGTTGGGGAGACAAATCGAAAAGAGAAAAATGCGAGCGATTGGAAAGTGTGTGCTAATCTGCAGTCGCACGTTTTCAGTAACTTTTCATCAGTAAGAGGGAGAGAAAATAATAATAGTAAAAAGTAAAGTGTGATGTACTGTGAGAGGAGGAGGAGGAGGAGGCGGAGATTATCGGTGACGATTTGGTAAATAGCAAAAAAGTACTGACTGACTGGCTGAGACCTCGTCTCGAGGGGAAGCAGCAACAGCTTATCTACACCTATCAAAGTTTTAGGTAAGGTCGCTGAGAAAAGATATACGACCGTTGGCTGTACCATAAAAAGGCAGTTTGAGGTAAGGTAGTGACGTAAGGCGGAGAGAGAACAAGAGAGTTTAGGAGTTCTGAGGTGTGATAGACAGACAGATAGACAAACAGACAGACAGAGAGATTGGCAGAAACGCAAAAGAAAAACAGCAAACAGCAGACCACTTTTATGACCTTTATATTGCTTGCTGGTGTGAATTGGTTGTGTTTAGATGCATCGTATTTTCAAGTGAACCAGGAATGGGAAAAGACAATCTCACAAACCTCTTTTCATGATGAGAAGCAGGTGTTATGAGGAAGATGAGATAGAAAAGGNTTTATATTGCTTGCCTGCACACACCTAGGTTTTGTTGTTTAGATGCATCGTGTTTTCATGTGAACCAGGAATAGGAGAATGAAACAACCAGTTAGGTGCTATGAGGAAGATGAGATAGAAAAGGAAATCACCCAAAAAGCCGTAAGTCGTTGACTGACCAAAGTCAAAGGCCAATATGCTTACGGTTGTCTTTTATTGCTAACTGTCTCTAGCTGAGACAGCACCACTATTCTGGTACTTTGCCTGAATCCAAATGCGGTACATCTTCTTCTTGTTGGCGCGGTTCACCTGCAGTCGCCGGTCGAGGTGCAGGTCGACCTTGCGCAGGCCGCCACTTTGTGAAAAAATGGCGTCCACCTCGGCCTCTTCGAAAAAGTACGATCGCGTGCCGTCGCCGCGCACATAAAAGTTGTCCTTGATGCAACGGCCGCGCTTGAAGCGCACCTGCGCCAGGTCGCAGTAGGCGTAGTCGCGAAAGAGAATCGTCCCTGTCCGGGGCTTCAGGTAGGGCGTGATCTGCGCCACTATTCGCCGGTGGTGGGTCGGGTCGATGGCGGAGAGAACGAAGATCATCGTGACGACGTCGAGCGAACCGGGGGCAAAGGGAACGCCTGCAGCGGCCCAGTCAGGCGAGGTGAGGTCGAAGACGAAGGGACAGAGGCGGTGGCCGTGAGCTGAGGTGGCGGCGGTGGCCTTCACCAGCTCGATCGCCTTCGCCGAGAAGTCGCAGCAGTAGACGAAGAGTGATGGGTCCATTTCCAGTAGCGGAAAGACGGTGTTCCCCACGCCGCAGCCTAGTTCGAGAATGGTCTTTTGTGGTCTCGGTTGCTCCAGTTGATCAGCAGACTCGGGCACCAGCTCCGGAAACTCGGTGAACAGCCAGTGCCGGTCCTTGAAGAACTTGTTCTCATGTTGGTTGTAGAAGGTGTTCCAGTAGTCGCCGGCCTTTTCCTCCAGCTCGGTTGCCTAGTAAAAAAGGGAAGAGCATTTAGTACTTTTCGGTTGTTCTACTTTGTTTCTACTTCAAAGATTACCTTCTCCTCGGCCACCTTCGCACTGGCATTCGCCTCAATCGTCCGCACCACCTGACCGAGCGTCTCCGGATCGAGAGGAACATCGTCCCAGGCATTGAACTGGAAAACGTCGTCCTCGTTGGTCAGATGGCGGTTGCCAAACTTGGGTCGCTTATCTGCTGCTGCTTCTTCAAGAACCTTCTGATCTTCCATCAGAGCTTTTTGATCTTCTAAAAACAAAAAGAAAAATTCCAAAACAAACCGGCGCCTATTTTGCATCTGAGCGCGTGCACGCCGACTACTTCCACCGCTGTGCTGTCGCTTCTTCAAACACAGCTGGCGCATGGAACATGCGTGCGCGACACACGCGCGCGCTCATGCTCCTCGCTTCTCCTTTCTCTGCCAGTGCTTTCGCTCACTCACTCACTCTCGCTCATCTGTCAGATACTCAAGGCAGAAGCAGCAGCAGAAGAAGAAGCAGATCCAACAGTGTTCCTCAGCAGCAGCAGCAGCAGCAGCAGCCCAACTGCTGCTTCTTCTTGCTCCCGAAACAAAGACGAGCCAGCGAGAGAGGAACTTGGCTACTCTCGAAAGAGAGAAAGAAGACGCTTCTCTACCCTCCGGCTCCAGCTGAATCCTCTGGCTTCAAGCTCGACACCAGTGAATCCAGTGACACATCGAGATTGATCCCCGCTCTCTCTGAATTGGCACTTACCTTTTGTTGTGGTGGTGAATCCTCCTACTTCTACTTGAAATCCAGGGTCCAGGGAATCTTTTGTTATGGTTGTCAGTGATCTTTGATCCTTTGGAACGTCTGCTGCTTTAACTGTCATCACTGTCCTTTGTCCTGACTGACCGTCCACCAACCGACCGATGATTGTAACCACGAATGCGACCACCACGGCGGGTCACTCTGACGACTGTGTCCAGGAGCGACGACGGCGAGGACAGTCGGAGACGACATGAACGGCTGCTTCCCGTCGTTGCCCTCACCACCACCCGTCGTCACCCCCCTCGTTAGCGGACCAGGACTGCAGCATTGCCAGCAGCATGATGGTAAGTGCTTGGGAAGGAGGATGAACCTTTTGAAAATGTCATATCTCTAATTAACTTTCGCTCACTTTCTGTTTAGATAACAGCAGCAGACGCGCTCAACAGCAACAACNGGGGATGAACCTTTTTGAAAATGTCATATCTCTAATTAACTTTTGCTCACTTTCTGTTTAGATAACAGCAGCAGACGCGCTCAACAGCAACAACCACCACAACCTCACTCTATTGAGTACGGACCACTACCCGATGATCTCGCGAATATCGCACTCGATTCTTTCGATCACTTAACTTCGATCCAACAACAACAACAGACACTAAATCCAACTCATTTTGCTAACCTGAATCTGCAGCAGCAGCAGCAGCCATCACCAGCATATCAGAACGTCCTTTTTGGAGGAGGCGCTCCGCAGTCCTTTACCTTCACCCTACTTCCTTCTCAGCCACTCCCTCAACTCATTCAACCACCACCACCACAACTGCTACCACTTTCATTTCCGCAACAACCACTTCCACAGCAAATCTTTAACTTAGTCGTGCCAAACAGCGGTGGTGCTCTGCTTCTAGGAGGAGGTACCACCACCACCAACCAAAGTCTTCAACAGTCTGCTTCATCAGGAGTTGTGTCAACCACTACTGCTGCTGCTTCTGCTCAACTGTGCCATAATACGCCCACTACCACCGCCATCATGAATCTTCCGGGCACTGCTGCTGTTGCTGCTTTAGACCCAGCTGCTCAGAAGCTGAAAGATCTGAATGACTTCGTCTACAAGCGCTACCACAACCAGGCGAAGAGCAAGGGCAAGAGCAGCGTCTGCAACTCCTCCTTCTACGTGTGGGCGAGGGAGGCGCGCGCGGAGCTGGACCCGCTGAATCGAGTTGCCCAGTTCAAACCCAATGCCGCCTGGCTAGAGAACTTTCTGGCGGACAAAAAGATTAAGCTGCCGAAGATTGACAAGAATAAAGCGGCGGCTACTACTATTACTACTACTACAGGGAATTTAACAAACAGCAGTGAACAGGCAACAAACAGTAGCCATTCAAACGCAGAAGCAGCATTACGGACGTCGACTAGAAAGCCTCGAAAGCGCCAGAAGACCTCCAAAGAGTTTCCAGAGCTGGTGGCAACTGCTGCTGCTGCTGGGGCAATGGCTTTCACCAGCAATGGCAATGGCGCAGCAGCTGAATCTCAGCAACAACAATCACAGCCTTCACTCGTACCTCCACCACCACCAGCAAAGGCTCGCTCCAGAGCAAGAGCTAAGGCCAAGGTAAGCTAAACTGTTCAACTTTATAATTTTGATGTTTGTTTTGATTCGATTTCTAAATCAACATCATTTCCCTCTTCTTAGCCATCCACCGCCACCGCCGCTACCACCTCCTCATCTTCAGCTTCTGTCGAAAAAGGAGGCCCCAGCACAGGGAGCACCAGCAACAACGCTGACAACGACATCAGCCTCGCGCTGTACCAGCGCTACGTCGAGCACATCAACGCCGGCGATAAGGTCGGCCGCCAGGCGCTGATTGCCTGGGCCCGGGAGCTGAGCGGCGGCACCTTCCGCCGGACCGGTCACTTCAACGTGGACGAGTTTATGGAGCGCTTCAACATTCGCCAGAAGGGCGACATTGTGGCGGAGTTTGAGGGGCGGGTGCTGGCGGCGTACAAGGCGACGCGGGAGGCTGGCCGGCTGGTCACCTTTAGCATGCTGCGCGGTTTTGCCGCGGAGATCATCGCCGAGGTGGACCCCACCGGGCAGATGCGCTGCACCGGCTCGCGAAAGTGGGCGGTCAGCTTTACCCGACGGAACAACTTGGAGATTGAGCGCATGAACAACAGGGGCGTGAAGAGGTCGGCGACGGAGGCGGCCATTGATTCAGATGAAGAGCTTGATGAGGAGGAGAAGGAGGAGGTGGAGGAGAAGAAGAAGAATGAGGAGGAGGTGGAGGTGAAGGTGAAGAAGGAGGCGAAGAAAAGGGCGAAGAAGGTACCCAAAAAGGAGGAGGTGAAGGTGGAGGAGATCGATGTCGTCACAGCAGCAGCTCCCACTTCTGCTCCTCCTCCTGCTAAAAAGCGCCAACGTCAACGGAAGCCGAAGAAGCCAGTTGTGAAGAAGGAGGAAGAGGAGAACAATGATGGCAATAATGTTTCAGAGCTTGATTCTTCAACGACCCAACACCTTGAATTCCTCCAGCAGAATGGAAGTTCTTTTTTTGTTTCGGAGGAATTGGAGGAAGAGTCATTGAAGGAGGAAGTGAAGGAAGAAGTGAAAGAAGAAGATGAAGAGGAGGAAAAGACGTCGGCGATCAATGGCTCTGAAGTAGTGCAATCAGCAGCGGCGGCACCAGCACATGCAGCACCGGCCACTTCTTACGCGGTAGTAAGTGCCGCTACGGATGGCAACAACAACCACGTCAACAACCACGTTGACCACCAACTTCAAATTCAAGTCCTCCCTCNAGGCACCAACAGCACCGCCCACCTCTTTCGCGGTGGTAAGTTCCGCCACGGACGGCAACAACATCCACGTCAACAACCACGTTGACCACCAACTTCAAATTCAAGTCCTCCCTCCGACTCTTCATCAACGACCTCAGTCATCGGATGAGATGTCTTCTTCGGAGGATGACGGGCTATTGCCGCCCACCGCTGGCAACAACAGCAGCACAGTGTACCGCATTGAAATGGCGCCGTCCACAAAAGATGTGGTGGGGGTGGTGGTGGAAAACAACAACAACAACTGCAACGGAGTAATGGCCGCCACTTCTTCACCTTCACCCGTCGTTGGAGCCAGCACCGGCAGCAGCAGCATGATCACCGACGATGAGGATGAAGAGGAAGAGGAAGAGGAGGAGGAAAGGGAGGGGGAGGAGGACATGGAAGTAGAGGACATTGTCTCGTCGGCAGTCAGTCAGCTGACCCCTGCAGCATCAACAACATTACCTTCTACAACTTCTTCCCCTCGAACTCTCGCGCTCTCGGGCACACTGCCAAAGTTGATCAAGGTGATCAAGGAGGATGGCCAAAGTAGGGTCAAGCTGCTGTCACCTCCCTCTCCTCTTCCTCATCACTACAACAATGTCAGCGGGATGATGGCCACCACAACAAATGTTACCATGGCCAGTAACAGCAACAGTAATAGTAATCAGGCGACGATGATCTCCATTCCGCCCTCTCTGCCGAGCGCACTGGAGCACACGGAAACTAGCCATAATACCTCAGCAGCAGCAGCCAAGCCAGATCTGATTGAGGCCGATCAGTCGAACAACTCTCGAGTGGTCAGTCCAACTCCTACTCCTCACTCCAACAACACCTCTATCTCCAAGATTATCACTGCATCAAATACCTTTACGACCACTGCATCCACTTCGAGCTCACCAGAGCCACTGCTAGGTCCGGTGAGCTTCACCACCCTCAAGGGGCCGCTCAGTTTGGTCAGCAGCAGCAGCACTACCACCACCACTAAGCCCGGTATTATCAGTATTCGACGACTGGCGGGACCGGTTCGTCAGTCATCACCCTCGCCGACGCCCATCACATCATCATCAGCAGCATTAGCGTTATTAGCAACCATCTCGTCAACCTCGTCACCCTCAGCCTCAGCCAAGCCACCGACGACCAAGGTTATGGTGAACAACCGCTCGACGCCCTTTGTCGCCTGCATCGCCCCGCCGCCCGCCGACCAGAGCTCCCGAGGGCTGATGGGCACGTTGCAGCAGTCGATGGGCATTCGGCTGGCCGGCGGGCGCGCCTACCTGGCCCTCCTCGTGCCAGCGGCCAACGGCTTTGAGGTGTTCCGTCGGACAGNTGCAGCATTAGCGTTATTAGCAACCATCTCGTCAACCTCGTCACCCTCAGCCTCAGCAAAGCCACCGACGACCAAGGTTATGGTGAACAACCGCTCGACGCCCTTTGTCGCCTGCATCGCCCCGCCGCCCGCCGACCAGAGCTCCCGAGGGCTGATGGGCACGTTGCAGCAGTCGATGGGCATTCGGCTGGCCGGCGGGCGCGCCTACCTGGCCCTCCTCGTGCCAGCGGCCAACGGCTTTGAGGTGTTCCGTCGGACAGAGGCGATGCTCGAGGAGTTGATGGCCGATGAGCTCTTTCAGCAGTCGGAGATGGCCAGTGCTGATGTACTCGACTAACCCAATCACATCATCAACACCTATTTTACCATTGGTAAGTTGGCACATTCTTTTGTTTTTGTCTGGTAG